CATTTTTAGTACTACTACCACATCTACTACATTTACTGCTACTTCTGTTACTACTACTGCGACGACTACTGCAGGTGCTACGACTACTCCTACTACTACGACCAGTACTACTACTAGTACTCATACTACGACTACTACTACTACTACTACTATTACTACTACTACTACGACTACTACTACTACTGCTACTACTACTACTATTACTACGACTACTACTACTACGACTACGATTACTACTACTACTACTACTACTACTATTGCTTCTACTACTACGACTACGACTACGACTACGACTACTACTACTACTACTACTACTACTACTACTACTACTACTACTACTACTACTACTACTACTACTACTACCACTACTAGTACTACTAATACTACTACTAATACTACTACTTCTACCACTACTAACACTACTACTACTACTGCTACTACTACTGCGCATGCTACTGCTACTGCTATTGCTAGTGTTTGCGCGCAGCCGCCGGACCCCAGGCTTTGCGGTGCTCGCGCGCGCGTTGCGGTTACAGGCGTTGTGGTGCTCACAAGCGTTGTGTCGTTTTACGGCGTTGTTGTGTGCGCAGGCGATGTGTATTTTTGGGCGCTGTGTTGTTCGCAGACGCTGTATTCACAGGCGCTTTGATGTTCACAGGCGCTGTGGTGTTCACGGGCGGCGTGCTCTTCAAAAGCAGTGTGGTTTTCACATGCACGTCGCGTTGATCGGATCGTACGCTTTTGTGGCGCTGGTCACAGGCACGTCGTGACTGTCGGGTCGCAGGCGATTGTTTTTCGCAGGCCCACTGCGGTGCTTGCGGGCATGTTGCAACACCGCAAAGCACCCCCGCCGTGACGTGATTGGCGCGACGGACGCCCCCCGATCACGCGCGTGATCGGCCCGACTAACGAACGGGCTCTAGTTCACCACGACAATCATCGCACATTCACGCGATCAGATCTTCATGTTCTCATGTATTCATTCATTTATCGCCGCCATTTTCATCAGTACCCTCCAACGCACACACTCACCCATTCTGGCACTCGCACACACACAAACACGCACACACGCACACGCACACGCACACACACACACACACACGCACGCACGCACGCACGCACGCACACACACACACACACCCACACGCACGCACGCACGCACGCACGCACGCACGCACACGCACACACGCACACACGCACACACGCAACACGCACACGCGCACACACGCACACACGCACACGAAAACACACATACACGCACGCACGCACACATTCACACACAATACACAACACGCACACACACAACGCACACAACACGCGCACACAACACAGACAACACACAACACACAATACACACAACACACACCACACAACACACACAACACACAGCACACACAACAAACACGCAACGCACAGCGCACACACAACACACAACGCACAACACACGACACAAGTAGCACACACAACACACACAACACACACCACACAACACACACAACACACGCCACACAACACACACACAGCACACAACACACACAACACAAACAACACATACACCACACAACACCACACACAACACACACAGCACACAACACACACACACACAACACACACAGCACACAACACACAGCACACACACACACAACACACACGACACACGCAACACACAACACACACAACACATTCACAACACACTCACAACACACACACAAAACACACAACACACAACACAACACACAACAGACATCACACACAACACATAACACACAGCACGCACACAACACACACACACCACACACACACAACACACAACACACACGCACGCGGCATTCACAACACATACACGGGGGGTACTATAGTTTTGGCCATAAGACGTCATGCTGTCGACGCCCCCTGCCCCCCCCGTAGAATCTAAGCGACATGTTTTGGGTCGGGCGGCTGTTCGACTCCGATTGGTCTCACCCTGTAAGAATATAATATATATATATATATATAATATATATATATATATATATATATATATATATATATATATATATAAAACAGGGTGATAATTACTCCGTCCCATTTACAATAGGGCCGGAAACACTCCGACTTGAACCCATTCACAGTAAACCACTCCGCTTGGGTCACGTTTGATCGTCCGTGTCATCATCCCCATCGACCCTGTCCTTATCATGCCAACGCGATGTTTCATTGTATTCCTTGTTGCATTGATGCTGTGAGACCCTGGGCATCCTTTTCCAATGCGGTCGCTCTCGGTTCACTGGTTGGCCGTCCCAGTTGGCCCACAAAGGCTCGCGAATCCGCATCAAGGCACCTTTGCATCCTGATCGGTCCTCCGCGGCACGCGTGACCAGCGAGGCAATTCTCATCTTATGGTCAAAAACTTTAGTACCCCCGAAGTAACACACAACACACAACAGACAGACCACACACACAAACACACACACAAACGCGCAAAAACACACAACCACACAACCACACACACATATACACACACACACCGAGCGAGAGCCTCGTCCGTGAGCGAACTCCATGGCAGTCTCAAGCTGGAGCTCAGCCCTAGATGGGCTCCCAGATAATGATATCTCGCCATCCGAGGCCAGAACATGGAGGAAACCCCTTTCGTGAACGAATTTCGAGTGAACCTCAAACGGGAACCCCCGTCTAGGAGGCCCCCCAGATCGTATCAGTAATCCGATGAGGTCGTCCAGATCCTGTGATTGTTAAGTCCTCTGGGTTCCCGAAGCCTGAATCTGGAAGTCTTGGGCGGGGGCCTCGTCCGGGAGCGAATCGCGAGGAAATCTCCAGCGGAATCCCCACTTTTTGTGGAACCCAACTCATATTCTTAATCTGGGGCGGCCATCGAAGCCTTGTAATTGTCGCCGCGTCTGAACTCCTGAGTTCTGAATTTCGACGTCTCCAGCGGGAGCCTCGTCTGTGAGTGAATTGCGCAGGGGTTTCCAGCGGTAGCCACCGTTCCACTGGGGTCTCCACCTCGCGATGGGAGCCAGAAGCGGTCATCGGAACCTTGTTACTGTCGTAACTTTTGGGCTCTTGCGAGGCATGAGTCCTGAGGAGGTCTCGAACGGGAGACTCATCGGTGATTGGACACTGCCCACATCCCACATTGCGAAGGCTTTGCGGCCGGTGCCGCCGACCCTGACGAAAACGACTCTGACCACGACGAGGTAGAGGAATGAGGAGGAGGAAACGCAGGAGGTTGGGGCGGAAAGTGTCGCCGAGGAGGTGGAGGAGGTGAAGGAAAACAACGAGTAGGGGGAACAGCAGGAAGGGGGTGGCGATGATGTGGAAGTGCATGGGGATGTAGAGGCCGAGGTTGAAGGGACGGGGGGGCCTAAGCACCAACGGGGATTGCAAGGGGGCGTGGGGCAGGAGGAGGAGGAGGAGGAATATTAAGAAGAACCAACATAATACTACTAATACTAATAATGCTAATAATACCATAGTAATAATAATGATAATACAATGCATCATAAGAAACAAAGAAGAATAACAAACATAACCACAATAATCCGAGGAATACTAATAATAACAATAGTAATAATAATTATCACAATAAGAATAACAGTACTACTAATAACAATAAGAATAACGATACTAATAATAAGAATAATAAGACGCATCCTAATAAGCATAATGATAAACAGAATACGAAGCATACGAATAAGAATAACAATACTAATAAAACTTAGAATACGGCGAATAAGAATAAGAAAACTAATATGAGGACTCATATTAATAATAATCATACCAATGATACTAACAATAATAATACTACTACTACTAATAATGAATAATAGCAAGAATATTAGTCACACTAATAATACGAATAATACTACTACTAATGATAATAATAATAATAGTAATAATAATAATGATGATGACGATGATGATGATGATGATGATGATGATGATGATGATGATGCTGATGATGATGCTGATTATGATGATGATGATGATGATGCTGATGATGATGATGATGATGATGATGATGATGATGATGATGATGATGATGATGATGATGATGATGATAATTCTAATACTAATACTAATCATACTAATGCTAATAATACTAATATTCATAAGAGGAGGAGAAGGAGGAGGAGGAGGAGGAGGAGGAGGAGGAGGAGGAGGAGGAGATGGAGGGGAGGAGGAGCAGGAGGAGGAGGGAGGAGGAGGAGGGGGAGGAGGAGGGGGAGGAGGAGGAGGAGGAGGAGGAGGAGGGGAGGAGGAGGAGGAGGGGGAGGACGGGGAGGAGGACGTGTGGGGGAGGCGCCCAATTCGCCCCATCGCCCTGCTTCCCCGGATTCCACCCCATCCCGCGGCGCGCAGCCCGTGAGGAGACGGCCATTTTCCTGCTCTGGCACGAGCTTCCCCTCGCTCATGACCCGTCGATCCCAGGGAGAGAGAGGTATTACCCACCGGTGGTTGAAAGTAGGTATTTTTGGATTCCCAGATTCTAATCTACTTTCAGCGCCTTCCTACTTCAAGAGTCGAGTGGTTTTCCTTCTTCCTTCCTCTTCAGCAGGCGGGCGGAAACCCAATCTATTTCCAACGCCTTCCTACTTTATGTTTCTACCTACTTCTTCCGACCGATGGGTAATATTGAGAGCGAGAGAGAGGACCGACCGCATGCTCGGATAATTGACTCGGCGTGCCTGGAAGACGAGTTGCCAATGCCACTTCTACGCCCCACGTGCACGTGCAGATGTGCGGCACTGCGCGAGGGTGAAGAGCTTCTGTAGTTCTGGGAGGCCACTCTCCTATTCTTCGCGTTCGGGCCCATCTTGGAGTCCGCTGCGTTTTAGACACTTCCACTGGGCCCTTGGGTTTCGGCGAAGGGCTCATGTTCTCGACCCTCGTTCTTGTGGCCATGTTGTGTCTGTTGATGTATGACCGTTTGTCTCCCCGAGTTCCAATACACCCACTTGGCTGTGGTGGCGCACCTCGGACCGCGCTGCTGACCAGAGCAGGCGCTCATGGTGGTGGACCCGAAGAGGAAGCACCACCCCGTTCGAGACTTCGTCGTCGTGACGCCCGTCTCGTTGGAGGAGGCGCCCCGCGTTTCTCCAGAGGGCGCGCCAGAGAGGGAGCGTCTCGCCCTCGGCGGAAGCCAGCAGACGCGAAACGGCGGCCGTTCCGCTGGCGGAAGCCGCCGGGAGTACAAGCGAGACGTCAATTTGTTTGTGGGTTGCGGAATCGGCCAGATGTGCTCCACACGTGATGAAGAATGCCAGCAGCGGGCATCAGGAGGGGCCAAGAGCTCAGCACGGGCTGGCAGCAGGAACAGAAAAGAGGCGGGATATGTGGAGGACGCTTTGGCGCTGTGCCGAAAGAGGAGGAGGAGGCGGAGGCGGAGGCAGATGAGCAGCATCATCGGGTGGAGGAGGCGGAAGCGCAGCAGCATGAACAGGAGGACCTCAGGGGTGGGAGGACCCCGCCTTCTCCACATCTTTTTCCTCGGGGGGGGGCGGTGAGGTGATGGGACCTGCCCGGTCGTGGGCGCACAGTGGGTTACCCGGTCCGCATCCAGTGTCTGCGGTGCCTCCAGGGGCGCCGTGAGCTGCGTTTTCGCTTGGTTGCGCTGGTAAGATTTGTTGTGACCCGACTCTCCACCGGATCATGTCTGCACACCAGCCCGCGTGATTCCATAGACTGTTGTGCAAGTGCATCAGAGTCGAGCCTCAATCTTTCTCGATACTGAGGGGACGTAATGGCGAATGTACGCAAGACGTTCCCGATCCGCTTCCCGTGCGAAATGCCATGCTCGGCTTCACTTTCTTCAGGCAGGTTATTTGTGCGTGGAATGTGGCGCGCTTGGAGTTTTGCACGTGCCATGTCCCTCCTATTTTCAGAGACAACGCAAGGGGGCGGACTGACCCAGGGGGGACGCATCGACACCCAATCGCCCATTCCTCGCCGACTAGAGCCTGGGTGCCCAAACCCGCCAAGGAACATGCGGTTTCGCCATCGGGGGTTCGACACCGACCTCTCATCTATCGGCGAAGTACATCTTGTCCCAAGGCAAACGCTCCCCCCACCCTGATCCAGTCCCCCCCATCGTTCCCACTCGAATTTGTTCTGCAATTGGTTGGTACGTAGCGTCTTGAATGCAGCGCGCACGGTGGCTGGCGCCGCTCCTGGCGCTCTCCGCGCGGCAGGGAGTGGAGGCCCAGCGCTATCCCAAGAATTCTACGCAAAGCCGACAAAGCATGTTTAAGTGGTTTTCTCCTCCGCTGCCCAAGAGAAACGGGTCCTGAGACTTTTCGCCGCTTTCGGTGGGCCTTCCCATGGCCCCCGAGACCATCAAGAAACGACTCAGGATGAAGAGCTGGTCCTTGGGAATGGGTGTCAGTACCCGTTTCCCTCAGGACCCGTTTCACGGTAAACGTTGTGTGAGAAAGCATTACGGCAGGTGTGGTGGTTGCGCTACCCGGCGGAGCACGACTCGACGTCCTACGCGCAGTCAGTGGAAGAGTGCCTTGCCCGTTCCTAACGCTCGCCTTTCTTGCGAGGGGCAATTGCAGTGTTCTGTGCCATTCCATCCTGATCTTTCGCCCTCCCGCTCTCCCCCTTTGTTCATCCCCCTCTCATTCTTTTCATGCCGTTCCCTCTCCTCTCTTCACCGTCCCCCTTTCGTCCTCCCTCCTGTAAGGAGCAATTGTTCAGCTTCGAGTGCGCAGCCTCAGAGTGACCCGCAGCTCGAGCTTTCGCCCTATCTCGGGAGGAGCAGGAGGAGGAGGAGGAGGAGGAGCAGGAGGGGGAGCCAAGTTTGCCAGGTCGAGGAGGGAGGAGCAGGAGGGATGAGCAGGAGGAGGAGGAGCAGGAGGAGAGGGAGGAGGATGGAGGAGCAGGAGGAGGAGGAGGAGGAGCAGGAGGGGGAGAGCAGGAGGAGCAGGAAGGAGGAGCAGGAGGAGGAGGAGGAGGAGGAGGAGGAGGAGGAGGAGGAGGAGCAGGAGGAGCAGGAGGAGCAGGAGGGGGAGACAGCGGGCCCTTCCTCCCCCCTCACTCATTCCTTCTCCGTGCTGTCGGAGGTCCGCGCGGATCCCTTGGGCCTGCACGTGCGGGGGCTCTCCAGGGGCGCTCGCTGGTGGCGCCACCAGGCGGGACCCAGCGCCCGTCCAAGAGAGCTTCGCGGGTTTTCGAACTAGGAGGCCACATGCGAACCCTACCCCTACCCCCCACGAGTTCTGGGGGGGTGGGTGGGGTTCACTTCGCTCGTGAGCTCCCGAACGAAGGGAACCCCACCCTCCCCCTCAGAAATCAAGGGGGGGGGGGGGGTAGGGGCAGGGTTCGCATGTGGCCCCCTACGAGCGCTTACTGTTCTGTTGAAGCCCTACATTCAGCACATCAGATCTGAGGTTCCCAAAGCTTCTCTCTGGGACCCGCTGCCCGAGGCCCCCGCTCCTGAGCGTGGGGTCCAGCTCCGACACAAGAATTCGCGCGCACCTCCAGAACTATGAGCTCACACGGCTCGTTCATGTTTGAGGAGCCAAGTGCACCGACATCGCCATTCCCCAGACCTCTCCGTGGATGTACTGTGTCCAGGCTCTCTAGGACAATCCAGCTGTGGAGACACGAGCTCTCCAGGACGCACAGACTTCTTGGTATGTGTTCCTCCGCTGAGCTCTCTTGCCCGTCGAGGGCCTCGAGACCACCTTGCTGTGCTCGTGCAGCTCTTCCTCCCTCGGACGCTTGCGCCTGCGCGTGGGGTCGATCGATTCGCCCAGGTGCCTCAAGGGGATCATCGACCTGACGTACGAGCTGGGGCTGTGTCGACGAGACGCGGGCGCGTGCTTCGGGGGCCAGTCGATGGGCGCGCCGGGCCCCTCCCGCCTCCCCTCCAGCTCTTCGGGCGCGCACTGGCGGAGATCGCCTTTCTCGAGCCCGCGTCGAATGGCTTGCGTTTTCTCGTGCCGATGGGGCTATACTTTCTCTTCTCTCCTCCTCCTCCCCCTCCTCCTCCTCCTCCTCCTCCTCCTCCTCCTCCTCCTCCTCCTCCTACCTCCTCGTGCCGGCTGTGTCTCACGGTGTTAGTGGAAGTGCGATCGGATTCGCGATGCGAGCTGGTGTGTGAGACGTGATAGGCTTGTTGAAGGCTTCGTTTCCCAAGGAGGACAAACCAGTTCTCGAGCCCACATCGTTGTACAATCAAGGCATCCCCCGTCGGTTCCGAAGAAGGCATCTAAACACCGCCGCCGTGCAGGAGCCATTTCGACCCCATCGGTCCGAGACGATTCGATTTCGAGGTTCGATTATGATTCGGTTCGACTCCGAATTCCGACTTCAGTCTCGGACCTCCGATTGGTAGACATCGATGTCGATGCTTTCCGATCTGCCTGTCAATCTCTGCCGGTTCGATGATTTTCTATGGCCGATTCGATTGTCCGATTCGATGTTGGGTGATCCTGCCGTGCTTGGTCAGGGAATTCTGGGCCCTGGGACGGTGCATAGCAGACCTTCCTTGCGTCGGCCAGGACGGCGTATGCGCCATCCCCCAGCCCAGGATTGCCCTGGCTAGGCGCGGTGGTGTAATGGTGCCTCCTGCGTATCGATAAAAGCGACATCGGGGCGAAGGAACGGAGAGGAACACTAAAAGCAAGTTCTTTCCATTCTGGACAAGACTCGCTGTCGGCATCGACGTGGGCGTTTTCCATTTTGGACGGACGTTGCCTGCCCAGCAGCGGCCGTTGTCGGTTTTGGACAACGCTTGCTGCTGGACACTGCGTGTTCTTTCGGCCACGCGCAAGGGGGGGGGTAGTGGCAGGGGGGAAGGCTTCTCAGAGCGAGGCCGGTTCTTGGAAGGCGCGGGCACTGTCTGCAGATGTAGGACCCGCGCCTTCTAAGAAGCAGCTTCCTTCGAAGAAGCCGTCCCCTCTGCCCCATACCCCGCTCTGCGTGCCGCCAATTCCTCGCATCTCGGGCCGGACGAGAGAGGGGAGGATAGGGAAAGGGGGGGGTACGAAATCTGCTGCGTGTAGCCGATTTCGGCCCCACCGAGAGGCCCATTCCTCGACACCTGGCCGCCTCCGGCGCCGGGAGGCGCCGGGAAAATCAGCTACGCGAGCTGATTCTCAAACCCCCCTTTGCTATCCCCCCCTTTCGCCCAGCCCGAGTATCTGTTCAATTCCTTCCGGGCGCCCAACATTTAGCTGCGTTGCCACGCCTGGCGGCCACGGCGATGTAGGGGGCGTAGGGTGTGGCGAAAGCCACTATTGCAGACATTGTCGTTGGCAGCATCTTTTTCCAGGAGGCCAAGTTCGATGGGGATTGACAAACAGACTGAATCCGATCGCAGGCCGAAATTTATCCAGAACCACCGCCTGGGGAATCGATGTTCGGGGACCTCGGCTGCGGATATACTCGGGTCCCCCCTGGGGCCCAACTACGTCGGTTCCCCAGGCGGCTGATACGGATAAGTCCCCGCCTCGCACAGAACGCATTGTGAGCTCGACGTCAGTCGGGGCTCTGCTCCTCAAAACCGGGAAGAGGAAGGGCCCGACGCACGCCAGCCACTGCACAGCGTGGCGGCGGATACCTTGCGATCCTACAGCTCACGATGTCCAGCAGCTGCACGGATATCTGTTGGTGTTGTTTGCTTACATCGTGGCGATCTCGCTTGATATTTTGTTGCCGTACATTGTCGAAGGTGGGCTGCGGATCTCTCCAACTGCGACGCTGATGCAGGGCGACTCGCAGTCGCAACCTCGACCCAGAGAGCTTTCCATCTGTTCCAGAGGTGCTGCTTCGGGCAGCGCGGATGGGGTCTGCAATTCTAGACGTTATGCGCAACCCTACCAGCCCATCCAGAACTGATGCCCAGGGAAGTTGCCCTGATCTGGGATGTAGGGGAACATGCAGTGGAAAGGGGGTCGGGGAAGCCGTCATACCCCAAGAGGGGGAGGATGGAGGAGGAATCAGAGGAGGAGGAGGAGGAGAAGGGGGAGGGGAAGGCGAGGGGGGGAGGAAGGAGGAATAAGCGGATGCGGAGGAGGAGGAGGAGGAGGAGGAGGGCGACCAGAAAAGCCAGAGGCCTCTTGGATGCCTCTCGGAGTCTCTTCGGATGTCTCTTGAGAGCTCCTTGGGTTTCTCTTGGGGCCACTTGGGGGCCTCTTGCCTCTTGGCGGTCCTGGGTGCCTCTTCTTAGAGCGTCCTGGGTGCATCAGGGGGGCCTCTTGGGAGCCTCGTGTGAACCTCGTGGGGGCCTCCTGGGGCCTCCTGTGTGCCTCTTGGGAGCCTTGGAAGTCCTCTTAGGGCCATTGTGGATGAACTCGATCAAAGAAACGTGCGGCTAGATTTGCGTCGTCCCCCCAGGAGGCCGAACTGTGCCGAACATGTTTTTGGAATCAATGCTTTGCGCCTTCTCGCCGAGGCTATCTTGGACGCTCCAATGGGTCGCGACTCCTCCCCTCCAGACCCAGAGGTAGAGGGTAGGGGGAGGAGTAAACCCCTCCGAGAAGGGGTAGTGGGATGATGGAAGAGGAAACCAACTCAACTACTCACTCCCAGAGGGCTGGTCGGATTTGAGTTGTTTGTCGGGGCTGGATTGTGCATTGGTGTGGTATGGTTGATGGGCAAGGACGTTTAAAACGTGGTTCGATGTCTTGGGTTCCTCATCGTATGATTTCACGTCCAGTGTGCTCGATGCTGGATCTCTACTTGATTTCATTCTTGCATTATGGTGAACGCGTCTGTTGCGTTAGTTTGGGTTCCTTTTGTCTCCAGCTTGGCTGTACGGTTCGTTGGCATTCCTTACGCACCCCTCGTATTCAAGAGGTGTACGCTATTCCGCCGACCGCCAGGAGAGTAGATGTACGGCTTCTGATATCGTATGTGTTGTTTGCCGCGTCCAGTCATGCTGGCTGCATTTACAGTGGGGGCCCATGCCAAGAAACACGCTGCTTGCCTCCAGGGTGCCCTGGGTTTCTTGAGCTTCGATGGCTTTGCTATGGAAAGCGTGACGCTCCCATACCAAACATCAGTGGACGTCCTGGGGTCTCAGGGTTGGGTTTCTTGCGGAAGGTTTCTTGTGGACTGGCCTCCACCGTATTCGTTTCTGTGTTGTTCCCTCTTCCTCCGCGTCTGTTGCGCGGCTTCTTGGGGCCTCCTGGAGGCCTCGGGGCGGCCTTTGGATGCCTTTATTACGAGTTCCTGGGTGCTTTGGCCCTCTGATGGCTGCCTGGGGGCACCCTGGGGGCGTGTTGGGCGTATTGGGGGCCATCTTGTGAGAGTGAGGGCTCCCGGGCCCCCTACGAGTTCCCCTCGTGCGCCTCTCTGGCCCCTCTGGGGCCCTCTGGAGGGCCTCTTCTGGCCGTCTAGGGAGCATCTTGAGCAGCCCTGGGGCCCTCTTGGGCCATCTCTGGGCCAGCTTGAACCGTCTTGGAAGGTAGCTCTTCTTGAGCCGTCTTGGAAGGTATGTTGAGAGCATCTTGGCGGCAGAAGAGAGCGGAGTTGGAGGCTCCGACCACGTGGCCCTGGAGGTGGTCGGCGAGTTCGCATGGAGCACCCTCCCCCGTCTCTAAGGGGATTTTGGGCCCCAGGGGAGGGGGCAGGAATCGAAGGGGGAGTGGAACGGCCAAACACCTCACACGCCTTTGCATTCCCACATAGCTTGCACCACATAGCTTAGACCATATATCTTGCACAACATCGCTTTCACCATCTTGCAGCGATCTCGGGGGGTTATTTGGCCGTTGTGTACGCTTGTAGCAAGAGCCAGAAGGCGAACTTGTTGATCATCTATCTCATCTCGTTCCCCTTTGTCATAACCTGTTCTGCGTTTCGCAGTGTATGTTTCCAGGCGCTCCAGATTTCAGAGGTCACGGCTTTGCCCACCTGTCTTTACGCTAGGCCTGGACGGTTTGTCCGCAGCGGTGGTCGATCGTCCGCTCGCTCGTAGCAAAACTGAGAAGGCGAAACAGTTCAAATCGCGTGCCATTCCCAAGAGTCCACCCAGGCGCTGCTGGTGCGTGTTGGGCTTCGCCACAAATCCTGGCGCTTGCACTCGCCTCGCGCGGCCCTGGGGGGATGAGGAAGCCCTCCCCTAGGAGCGGAGGGTGCGGACCCGACCCATTTGCCCCCGCAGCGCCCGACCTGTCCGAGGCTAAGCGGCCAGACGCCGGTCGGGCCCGTGGGGAAGCACCCACCCCCCACACCCCCAGGTTAGGGCGGGTTGGGCGGGCCAACGACAGCACGTGGTCACTATGTACCAGAAGGGATGGCACCAGTCCAGTGAGCGCAGCAGGCCACTATGGGGGCCACCGCACGTGGTCACTATGGACCGAAACACGAGACGGCACAGGCCAGCATGGACCGAGAAGCGAGACACGGTACGGTATTTTGCCCCGCCCCAGCACCAGACGGAAGAGCACGGCACGGCACAGCACCGCGGAACGCAAGCTGGAGGCGGACGCGGGTCGGCCAGCGCGCGGCCGACCAACCGAGCGGGGGCGCCCCCGCGGCCACCCGCGGGGCCGATTCCAGCGCAGGCGGATTCTTGACGAGCGAACAACTCACACCCATACCCATAGGAGGGTCGAAAGGAGGGGAACTGGCTATGGGTATGGGTGCGAGTTGTCGGACCCTGGGGGAAGCTCCCGTTCGAGCGGGGACCCCCATCCGACAACACGCACCCATAGCCTCTTCCGTCCCCCCTATTATGGGTATGGGTGCGTGTTGTTCGATCGTCAATTCGTGCCAAGCAATAGCTCCATTATTCCGACCCTACATATCCTGGCGCTTGCAATCGCCTCGCGCGGCCCTGGTGGGCGAGGAGGAGCCCCCCCCCAGGAGCGGACCCGACCCCTGCCGTGCAGT